CCCCCACGCCCCCGCTTAGAGCGTCTTTACTGCCACGCGCCCGCGTAGAGCGTCTTTACCGCCAGGCGCCCGCGTGGAGTGTCTTTACCACCACGCGCCCGCTTAGAGCGTCTTTACTGCCACGCGCCCGCTTAGAGCGTCTTTACCGCCAGGCGCCCGCGTAGAGCATCTTTTATGCCACAGGAAAAATAAAGCCTCATAGCCATAATTTAATTGAGAAGGAATTGCCTTTTCATGATAAATTCTAAAGAATTTTAAAATGCATTTTGGGGGACCAGCAGTGGGTATAATGGCTATCCTTGGATTCCCATGTAGCCAACTGTGGGTCAAGGCCCGGACCCAGTGGCTAAAACTTATGCCGAGTGCGTGTGTGTGCGTGCCCAAGATCCCGAGAGGAGAATGGAGGAGAAGGAATTGTGGTGCGGCCACTCCCCTGGGGGGTGATTTCTCGCTTTCTGTGTCTGTCTGTTTCTGTCTTTCTGGTTGGCTCACGTGCCCTATAGTAAAAACTTCTCCAGAAAAAAACCCCCAAGAAATAAAAAACAACAAAATTCACACTGGGCATGTGCATGCCCAAAATCCTGAGAGGAGAATGGAAGAGAAGGGACTGCAGCGTGGCCATCTCCTCGGGGGGTAATTTCTCACTTTCTGTCTCTCTGTGTTTCTCTGGTGAGCGCATGTGCCCTATAGCAAAAATCTCTCCGAAAGAAAAAAGCATTTAAAAAATATTTGAAGGAACACGAAAAGGCCATTCACAGAAGAAGCCCAGTAAACCTATGAGCAGATGCTCACTAGTATATCAAAGATGCAAATGAAAACGAGATTGCTTTTCACCAACCAGATTAGCGAAGATAAAAATGGCTGACAATGCCTTGGCTGGCAGGAGTGCAGGGACGAGGGCACCCTCCCCGCTGCTGGTGGGGGTGTGAATCTGTGTCACCTTTTGGGAAAACAATTTGTCACCCTCCGTTCAATTTGATCGTATCTCCTGATTCCTAGGGATGTGGTCCACAGAAGCCCTCACAGTTTGCCAAGACATAAGTGGAAGGACCGCTTGTTTGAAAACATTTTTAAAAGTGGAAATGATCCAAAGGCCCATTAACAGGGGGTTAGCTAGTTGACGGCTCATCATACCCCGGAACACTCTGGAACACCACGCTGTGCGAGGGCTCTCCGTGTCGTACCGGGGAAATGTCTCCAAGACACGAGATACACCAAATGGCCTTCAAGCGCGGAGAGTCTAATTCTATTTTCATATAAAGTTATCATGTTAAAAAGCAACTCGGGATGGCCTGTGGCCTAGTGGTTAAGGGAGACGGATCCCACACGGCCGGCCACAGTTTGACTCTGACCCCTGATGGTTTGGAAAAAGCTCCAGGCACACGTGTGTGCATGCCCCAAATCCTGATGGGATGAAAAAACAGAGGGAGGGGACTGTGGTGTGATCACACCCCCTCGAGGGCTGCTTTCTCCTCTCTCTCTCTCTGTCTCTGTGGAGAATGCACCCACCTTCTGGCAAAAAAAAAAAAAAAAATTAAAAAAGGTACAAATGAGCTCGCTGGTCCAGGGCTCAGAAGGTGTCTGTGTGCTGGGACCAGCAGATGGCATAGTTATATCACTGGGCTCCCAGGTAGTCGACCGTGGTTCGAGTCCCAGACCCAGCTGCTTCAAAACTCATATCAGGCATGTGTGCGTGCGTGCCCAAGATCCCGAGAGGAGAATGGAGGAGAAGGGATTGCGGCGTGACCATCCCCCCTGGGGGGTGATTTCTCGCTTCCTGTCTCTCTGTCTCTCCAGGGAGTGCACAGGCCTTATAGCAAAAATCTCTCTTTAAAAAAAAAGAGGGGGGGGACCATTAGTGGGCATAATGGCTATGTTGCTGGACTCCTATGTAGTCGACCATGGTTCGAGTCCTGGACCCGGTGGCTTAAACTCAAACCGGGTATGTGTGTATGCGTGCCCAAGATCCCGAGAGGAGAATGGAGGAGAAGAGATTGCGGTGTGGCCATCCCCTCTGGTGGGTCATTTCTCACTTTTTGTCTCTCTTTTTCTGTCTTTCTGACAAGCGCACGCACCCTATAGCAGAAATCTCTCCCCCCACCCATAGCAGAAATCTCTCCCCCCACCCCAAAAGAAAGGAAGGTGCTTGTGTGAGTGGGGTCTGAAGCTGGTTCTCCTAGCTTCACGAAGAATCTAGCTCTGGGGCCGGAAGTTGGTGTGGTGGTTAAGGGTGCAGGACTCCCACACGGCTGACTGTGGTTCACGTCCTGGACCTGCCAGCTTGCTTTCTCACTTTCTTTCTCTCTCTTTCGCACTCTGTCCCTCTCTGTTAAAATTTAAATAAATAAAGTTAAATTAAATTAAAAAGAGAGGAAGAATCCAGTTCTGAGCTTAAAGGTCCTGTCTGGGGACCTTACCTCCGGCAGGTTCCCGCCAAGCGAGTAGCAGGGTCTGAATTCGAGACATCTGCCGTAGGGACAGGAATGGGTCACAGTTTGCTGCTCGGACAGTGCGGTGGTCCCCGTGTGGACGCAGGCCTGGTCTGAGGACGTGGCATCTCGTTCAGTCCCGGCCTGCCGCTGGGAGACGGGGTGTCCCCCAGGTCGAGTTGCATGTCACTTCCACACAGCTTTTCCTATTCTCGTTCACACGTGCGTTCCGAGGCGAATTCCGGAGGAAGGTCAGCCCAGGGCCGAGAGGCGTCCTCACAGCCGTTCCCGGGGCGTCTGCTCCTGCTCCGTACCTCAGCCCTGAGCGGCCATTGAGGGAGGGCCCTCGTGTGTGGCGGAGCCGAGCAACCGGATGGGAAACTCGGAAGGGTGGGGTTGAGGGAGCCGGATCTGTGGTCGACTGCAGTTCAAATCCTGGCCCTGACAGTTTGAAAAACGTGCCAGGCTCATGTGTGTGCCCCAAATCATGATGGGATGGGGAACGAGAAGGGATTGCAGTGTGACCAGGCCTGTTTGGAGGTGCTTGTCTCCCATCCCCTTCTCTGGCAGGTGCATGTGCTGTCTGGTTCTGTATCTGTCTGTCTGGCATCTGTCTGTCTATCATCTAACTAACTATCTATCTATCTATCTATCTATCTATCTATCTATCTATCTATCTATCTATCTATCTATCTATCTATCTATCTATCTATCTATCTATCTATCTATCTATCTATCTATCTATCTATCTATCTATCTATCTATCTATCTATCTATCTATCTATCTATCTATCTATCTATCTATCTATCTATCTATCTATCTATCTATCTATCTATCTATCTATCTACCTACCTATCATCTATCTGTCTATCTCTATACGTGTAATGACCAAATAGCCTTAAAACCTACACACACGGTGTGGAGTTCAAAAGTGTCTCTTTGCCTCACTCAGAAAGACGCTTC